TGGTCATTATTTGCCTACGTAATGACCAACATAGGTTGCCATAATGCGCTCCATGGGCGAATGAAAACAGTTCTTGGATTACGGTAATTGCCCGCGTTGTGCAATTACACGGCTACCCTTCGTGTATTTACGTAACATCTGTGCAGTAAACCAAGGTGTGTTATGTTAGTATCAGTTAAAAATTGTTTTAGGTGTTTATTATATGCAATATTGTTATATGTGTATTGCGCTATATGAATTTTTCATTTTTTTTGTAGTTACAGAGAGAAATCAATTGGTTTGCAGTTACGCTGGAATTCATATATCGTTTTTATCCGTGGAGTTTTTTCACTGGTAAGTGTTTTTAGTAATAGTTTTTAATAATAGTCTTTTGTAATTTATAAGTTATTGATTATGTTTATCTTGTATATACTTTCTAAGGTATATTTGTGTATCTACAATGAAGACTTGATTACTTAATTCATGTTTATAGGAAACCTTCTGGCTTGTTCTTTAAGCTATAGCCTTGGAACTTGTTTTCTGGACTTGGATTTTTACCTGTGGATTTTCCCATTGAGGCAGGTAAGTTGTTATGAAGAATGAGAAACATTTCATTGTTAATCGTTGTTAAATTTGAGCTACCTAATCCGTATTCGTATTATATATTATTAATAATCAATCTTAGTTACAGAAGTGAATCGATTGGTGTAAATTTTCTTCGACTTCCTTCGTCCTATTACACGTTTGGTCTCACGTAAGTATTTCTTAACATTAGTTGTTGTATTGTCGGAGTTTTTTGGGTACACCAGTGAATAATGAATTATATATGGTGTATGGGTATGCTTGTAATTGGGAGATTGATTAAACAATCTATCGTTATAGGAACTACATTGTTTGCGCCTATTAAACAATTTATCTTATAGGAACTCCATTGTTTGCGTCAATATCATATTTCTTAGTTATCTGTGAATTGTCTTATCTGATAGCTAAGGTTAAGGTGAGTTGTTATTGCGAATGAAATATTTTGTTGAGATATATTAAGCATTTACTATAAGTTTTTAAATGGTAGTTTATGTTTACAGAGGCACGTCGATAGGTGTGAATGTTTATCGAATTTCATTGTTTTATCCACGA